CTCCGAGACCCCTGAGCTGCGGGCGATGTGTGTCTGCCTGTGTCTGTACCAGCTGTTCAAAGAAGGTGCTCCCTGAACTCGCTGATCGCCCTGGCCTTGACAGGATATAGCATATTGATCAATGCTTCCTTCCCCCTTAGCATTTCTGTCTCACGTTGTTAATTAACAAGAGCGAGTTTGTAAGGGGTAGACAGGTTTAACAAAAATAAGGGACGCCGATTAAGTTTGAATTGTAAGTAAAAGAGGACTACTTGTTTAACGTTTATCTCGTGAAATATTTGAAACATACTTGTAAAAGTATCCGTTGTTAGTCTGAAATTTAAATTTAATCCGGCTTGTTAGACACATTTTCTTTAGCTTCTTTTATTAACAGGATCTGTACATCCATCCGTACTTCTTCCTGGCAATAGAGAACTAGTTCATCTAAAAGTCTCATTTCATCCCTGTCCAGCTAAAAATAAAAGGACGAAAAAGATTTTTAGGGAAGTGCGTTTTAGGGAAGTGCGTTGTGGCTCTTTTAGCCCTTTGTGATGATGATGATGTTCAGGGTCAGCTAGTGGGTTCAGAAGCGTAGCCACCCTTCTATGCACAACAGAAGGAAACAGCCCAGCCCTGCCCCATCCTCAATCGTTCTCATGCTCAGTGGAGCTCCTGGTTGCAGCGGCCGTATCCATGCATCTTGTTCAGGCCCTTTTTGCTGCCCCTCCACATTACAGAGCATGATGTCTTCCAGGTATTGGTCTCTCCAGAGAACGTGTTCAAAGTACGTGAGACAATGCCTCGCCAACATGGAGTTGATAAAGTTTGCTTTGTTGTCGCTGCTTGGTTTTACAGTTTAAACCACTGTTCCGCCTGCATTTATTGAAACACACACACACACAAACACACACACACCACCACCCCACCACCACCACCACCACCCGGAGCCTGGTGGCATACTGTTATACATGTAAGGTCCCTATTTCAAGCCCATCAATTACTCCCTGGGAGAAAGATGAGACTTTCTATTCTTGAAGAGGTTCTGGTTCCAGAAAGCCAAACGCAGTTTTCCTCTGCCCCTACTGGGTCCCAGTGAGTCAGACTTGATCCCTTGGCAGTGACCTTGCTTCTGTTTGTCTTTGCCACGCCCCTCTGGCATTGTCCGCTTTCTCTTCTTGGAAAACTGTTTGGGTCACTTTCTCTAGGAAGGTTTTTGAGACCATTCTAAATAAAATAAATCTGCCCTTCCCCACTGCTATACAGCATATTAATCATCCCATTCTTGATCTGATCTGCCCTATTCTGTATAGGCACTTCCCCAAAGCATTTACCCTCCCTTGACAAACATACTCACTTGATTATATCTGTCTGTGGAGTCTCATTTGGAATGCAATTCCCATAGGGGTGGATACAGTTATCCGTATTTGTTGCTTTTGTTTTCTCCTGTCTGCTCAGCTCCTAGAAAAATTTCTGAGTTCTCATAGGTGCTCATTAAAATATGTTGCCAGTTCGTGATTAGATGTAGGTTTGGGGTGTGGATGATGAGGGGATTAAGTCCCAGCCCCCTAAGAGAATGCTTTCTGTCTTATGCCTTTAAAGATTGTATATACTATGTACTATAGGAAAATAATATTGCTTCCCAATTTGGAATACTAGCCCTCAAAATTTTACTCAAATCCTTCCCAGTCTGTATAATGAAACTAGTCCAATTCATTTTCGAGTCTTTCCTGAAAACAATAGTCTTTAACTTTTTATTGTTAAAGGTTTGTTTCTTTGTTTTATTCTTCTGTCTAGTTTGTAATCTGTTTTTTAAAGAATGGATTTTATTGGTCAACTGTTTTTTTCATATCCTACTGTTATAAACAGTAGCATTGTTAGGATATTTTGGATCTGTACTAAATATCTTTGTAAACCCTTGAACTATCTATAAAACATAACTATAGTGTTCATCCATGATGATGTTTGATTTTCTTCAAAAACATCTTTGTTCCACATTTTCCTTAGGAAGAGAAAAGAGCAAAACTCGCAGAAGCTGCAGAGAGAAGACAGAGGGAGGTAAGAGTAAAAACAGCGTTTTGCCAAGTTAGATCATTGCTTTTTTTTTTAATTCCTTTCCAGTTACTATTTCTTGCATATTAGAAGCATTTTCCATGTTATTATAAATCACATTGTTATATTTACATAATCTAGAGTACAAAAATATATAGTTTTTGTTTGTTAGTTTTTTAAGATGATATGCCCCATTACTAACATTCTCGCTTGGGATAAAGTGACTATATAGTGTTTCCACTGATATATGTTAAGTAAGTTTAGGGGGAAATTTTGTATGGTTGCAGAATTCCCAATGAAGAAATGACCATATATTTTGTGTTTTATGTAAGGCTATTACAGATCTATTTCAATTACCCCAAACAGGTCCCAAACAACAAGAAGCAAAAATAAAAAACATCTTTTCCAGATTTCCCAGGTGGACAATATGACCTCCTAGCGGGCATTGGAAGGATCCCGGGGTGGGGGGCAGGGGGAGGGCTGCAGAGATTGCACTTTGTCCTGGGTTATGGGCTCTGGTACACACGTTTTCTTTGCATTGAGGCGCTGAATAATTTTAAAAGGGGCCATGAGCCAAATAAGTTTGGGAACTTATGTTTTGGACACGTGATTGTTGCTTGTTTTAATGTTCCTTACACCATTTTAAAGGCTGCTTCTCGGGGGATTTTGGATGTTCACTCTGTAGAAGAAAAGAGAAGGAAAAAGGAGAAACTAGAAAAACAAACCGCTTCCGCTGGGCCCCAAACAGAAGGTGGACTTAGAGTAAGTACTTAGGGTATAATTGGCATCTTTAAAAATCCATCCATTAATTCATTTTAAAATAAATTCTCCACAAATTTCAAATCAATTTTGGAAGACAGATACTATAGATGGGAAGGAATGCTCATGTAGTTTTAATATTTGTTTTAACAAATTTCCCTTTTTCGTCCCCCAAAAGTACAAACATCGATTTTTCTGATCATCCTAAGACTTGAGAAGCAAATTCAAACAATAAGAAAATGCCTAAAGAAGAAATTCAAAAGCACCCCAAATGCAGTGCCATTATGACTGGTGCCATTTCTACTTTCCATCTATCAGTCTTACTAAATGGGATTCCTTGTGAATTCTCCTTTCATAACCTAAGTTTTTTCACTCAAGGGTTTGCAATCTTTGACCTTCCACTGTTGCTCATTATCAGAGTCCAGTCAGCTCTGATAAGGACAGTAGTGTGCACAGATGTGCTGCTCTGGGAGCAGCCACCTCATGTGGCACTGTGGACGGAAGTTCAAGCAGGTTAAGTACAGCTCTGCTGACGGGCAAGTGAGGGGCGAGCAGGGCTGCAATGGCTTCATGGGACCTGGTAAATCTCAGGAACGTAATCATTCAGATGTTAAGAAATTCAGATATAATCAATTTAAGATAATATGAAAATTGGGGTGATATATGTTTAAAGGAAATATATTTCCTAAAATACTTTTGAAAGGTAAAATAGATTTTGCTTTGGTCATGTATAATTAACATGACAGTATCTGATTTAGCAGTGTTTTTTAACCTGCTACACTGTTTTCCCAACAGCTTTGTGTTTTCTGTTCAAAGTAAAATTTATTTTCTATTTCTATAGCTCATCAAATTAACAAATTCTATTTTGCAGACCCCAAACCAAACCCACTACTGTGGAGTGGATTTCCATTCATAGTGACCCTAAGGAAAGACAGTCCAACAGCCTGCAGCATTTCCATGGCTGTAAATCTTTATGGAAGCAGACTGCCACATCTTTCTCCTTATAAAGAAAAGGACGCATACATGGTTTAATTCTTAATTTTTCAAACCAAATTTATATGTTTAAATTACAAGCCAATTATTTTCAGGTTGACACCAACTGTTGGTGCCCCCTGGTGTGTGAGAACAATTTTCCAGAAATAGATAGCCAGACCTTTCTTCTGTGGTGCATTTAAGTAGACTTGAACCTCTAACCTTTGACTTAACAACCGAGCATATTCACCATTTAAACTGTGCAGAGACTTCAAATTGTACATAGATGTAGCTTATCCCTTAGATGTATTTGAAAAGCAGTCCTTGAGAGACTGTGAAATGTATTCTGTCCTAATGGTCTTCCACAACCTGCTATCACAATTATAATAAACATGGCCACACGGAACGGCAAAGGGAACATGTCTCAACTCCAGGCTATGTTACCATTTTCCATTCTGTTTGCCTCAAATGGCAATCCATGGCTTTTGTTTGGTGGTTTTATTGCTGTTCTGGTCTTTTCTGGTGGTAGGGAGGGAACTCCCAGTTACTGCTTCATTGTTTCCACTTTACTGGTTACCCATCAATCACCTCAGGTCTTAGCTCCATTCCCCTTCACTTTGAAGCCTTCATGTATTTTACTGCAGACTTTCGGCTGTAACCGAGATCAGCTTTCACTTGAATAATTTTTTATTTCTCTTACTCTGTGTTCTTCTTTTGTTTGTACATTGGAAAAGTGTTATATGACACTGAATAAAACAGATTTTCTTTGTATGTTTTCATATCTTCTAGTGGACTGTCTCATAAAGCTAACCGGAATGGAGGAGTCAACTACCAATGACGCTGATATCTTCAATCAAGTGGATCTTGTTAATTTCTTCTCTTTGAATAAATGAAGATTACGTGTCTATAACATTAGTGCCCTTAATGCAGTACTAAGTCTATATAAAAACTATTGCAAATACTTGTGAGCTTGAAACTAAGGAAATGAACAGGACTTTCATTAAGTGCTACTTTCCCTGCGTCTGCTCGTCTGCACAGGCACTAAGGAGATAGGTTGCCACTTTTCAGCAGTTAAAGCGTGAAGCTGAGTAGGAAGTATATCTGCATCTGCATGTAAAAATTCTCCATATGTCCTTGATAATACCATTTGAAATTGTGTTCCCCACCCAAATAACCTAGTTCTTTATAACTCCGCTGCTTAGCCTGATTCCTGTTTTGATTTTGTTATTCAGCCATCCTCTGGTTGTGAAAGCCTGATTTGTAGACAACTACCTGCCATTAAATGCTTTACAAATCGTCCCTCACTTAGACAATCCTGAACCAGCCAGATCCGCAACAACCTTTCTTTGAAGTCACCTTCTCTGGGGCCAGGGGAAGCGCTTCAGCCATTGAGCAGGCTTTGAGCATTTTCTGATACTAAAGTTAGGCTAAATATAAGAGCTGTCTATTCCTATGTTGACTTACAAATTCTACTTGAAGACACGGAACGGATCTCCTCCAAAACCCAGGGACTGCCTCTATTTAAAGATTCTTGCTTAAACTTGGAATTTTGTGCCTTTCAACTGAACAGTGGGGAAAATTTTGAAAACTCATTTTAAGGGCTTATATGAAGGAACACTGTAAATTTGTAAAACTTACTAAGGAATGAATATTTGTAAACATTAAATGTCTTCTAATTAAGTTTTTTATCTATAGCTTATTAAATCAACACATTGTATTTTACATTATAGTAATTTAAACCAAATCCGCTCCTGTTGAGTCGATTCCAACTCGTGGCACTCTAGGGACAAAGTAGACCTCTACTCCATCTGGTTTCCAAGGTTGTACATTTCTTTGGAAGCAGACTGCCACATCTGTTTCTCTCAGAATGGCTCGTGGGTGCGTTGAACCACCAACCTAGCAATTCGCAGCTAAGCATTTAACCATTGTGCTACCAGGACATCTCATGACACTAAAGTGTTTTTGTTTTGTTTCTGAGGATTTTTTCTTTTTATGAATTTAAAATTGTTTGTTAGTAGTACCATCAGAAGGAACTGTGGCTGTACAATGATTAAGCACTCAGCTCCTAACCAAAAGGTCTGTGTACAACCGCCCCCCCCCCCTCACACGCCCTCTGTGAAGGAAAGATGTGCCAGCCTGTTACATAAAGATTATAGTCTTGGAAATCCACTCTGACCCAGAGAGTGGAAATGACCCGCTAGCACTGTGCTTGACTTGGCTTTTGTTTGGGAGTGCCAACAGAGGGCAATGATGCACTATTGGTTGTATAACAACAGATTCAGTTTTATTAAAGTATTGCTTATAATTGAGTAAGTTGGACTGTGATTTGGGGTGGTTTATTAATTATTGTGAATATATTCATCCTAACTTTATAAGCATTTTTATTCTTTTGTATTTATTAAGGAACGATCATAGGATTTATACACATGTGAAATTGACAAGGGAAATACAAGCATATGAGAGAAAGGTCTATTTTCAACATAAAAATGTAACAAGGTAGTTCTGTATGCTGTATTATTTATAAACTTTGAAGATTTTTATTCATTCGAGATGTAAGTTTTATAGTATTGTTGTGTGACATTTAAGATGTCTATATATAGATAATAAGCCAATATAATGCTTGCTATTTCTTTTGACTACTATGCTTGCTAACTCTTGGGAATGGCAAGACCACATACTGCATCTTAAATTAGTGTAGGCATATTCTAAAAAGGCGAGTAAATTCAACAGATCGGTTAATTTGCAGAAAGGAAACCGAGACATAATCTTACCATCCTGCCCATGAGACATGTTATATTACAGTATGTTTATATTGTATATGTTCATTTTAGAGCATTAGTCTTATCTCCCTATGAAAACAATACTTTTTCTATTATGGCATGAAATATTCTATAACTCTCCATGCCAGACGGGCTCAGTTTTCTTCATCCTGTTAGAAGAACAGTGGTATTGTTGTTCATAAGAATACTGAAATCGTAGTTTGAAACAAACATTTTTAACTTTGAAGTGGGCTACTTTTCCAAGGATGAAAGGACAGAGGAGCACCGACAATTGCTAACTGAGTTTAGAACCAGAGTGTTTCATCTCTGCACTCTGGTCGTAGAGTAACAGCTTCATCTTCATCCCAGCTCAGGCATTAGAACTTGGGTTGATGGTGCGGTAAGCCCCGGAAAGCACCGAGTTGTGAGGTGGCGCGGGACTGAGTGATGTTGGGTTCTGTCAAACAGGGTTGCTGTGAGTCAGAGCCACCTCGGGGGCACCTGACAACAACAATGGCCGATACCGTCTCTTTGGGATGAAGGAGAATAGAGGGACAAAAAGTTGTTATGTCCTTGAAAACACAGGCATGTTCTTTCTCCTAAAGGAAGAATGATACTATGAGTCTCCTGTTTTCTTAGAGAACAGTACTCAAAGTGTACACCCAGGGACTAACACTCAGCTCTAGCACAGTGTCCTCAACCACGTGCTTATCTGCAAGCGATGTGCCGGTTTGTGACTTTCTGGGGACTGAGATACGCAGCTCCACCTAACCCAGGGCTGCCTCCCTGAGGGTGACCAACTTCCCCAGAACCGTGGGGTGCATGGGCTAGGAGCTGGGTACGCGAATGTGTGTTAGGGGCACGTTTAGGCAGGGGAGGGAAAGGATGACATGATGCCTGGTAGGAAATGAGTAATTGCTACTAGAAGGAAAGAAAAAGTAAAAACTATACACACAGTCATTCCACTCAAGTTACTAATCTCTTATGAAAACACTGACCTGAGAGCCAATTTCCCCCAATTTAGATAGGGAAAAAAAATTTAATGTTTTGTATGTCAACCCAAATATCTGAATCAAATTATGAAAATAAAGCTGAAGTGTCAAAATGACTATATATATATATATATATATATATATACAGTTATATATAGTTATATATATATATAGTTATGATACAAAAATAGTTTTCTAATTCTAATCATTAAGTGATTAATATGGCTAAAACAGGACAGAAGTGGTATGTGAATACATAACCCCTTTGTTCTCAAATGGCATGGTTTTTAAAACAACTATATGTAATGTTCTACCTATTGTGTTTGATATGTAGCTCAATATTTTTCCCCACATAATTTTGTGATAAATCTGTATTATCTTTTGTGAGTATGAATATACACTTTTCTGTGTAGAAATTGGCTTTGGCCATTTCTTTTTAACAAGAAAAATCATCTGTTACATGTGCTAACTCGGGAATTGACAGAAGCTTGTAATGTTTCTTTTCATATATGGTTTAGCTTTTCCCACCTGTAAAAATGATGCTGTACTCTTAGGATAAAAAGTAAATCTTGACACTTTGCTATTTGAATAAGATGGTTTTACATAATCAGTAAGAGATACATAAAATATGCCTGTCTATCTGTGTTGAGATTAAAATGTGTTCCTTTAACTTCCAAGCAGGAATCTCAGGTCCCCTTAACTACTAGATGTGCTAGCAATGTCTTCTCTGGAACGTTGTTTTTTTCTGAAACCCATTGTTGACCACATGGCATTTGTATGTGCAAGAGACTTTGGGGCGTGGTTTGACATAGAAGAATTTGCGTCTCCACAAGTCTAATGTTTTAGGCTGTTTATATGACAAGGCTTTGTATTATCCCCTTTCCCATTTCTACACGTGTCATCTCACGAGGGTCACTTGTGATTCCGATCATTATGGTCTAAAATTTGGATATTTCCAAAACCCCTGGATCTGGATACTTTTATGGTCCTTTGAAGTTTATTGAAAATTTTTACAGCATCATAGTTGACTTCCCAGCGAAACAACTTTTGAGTTAATTCCCTCTAGTCATAGAAGTAGACTCGAGCCATCATCAATGCCTACTGTTAGTTTTGTGCACAAACTGGCTATATTTAGGCTGTTTCTGAAAGCTTCCTAGTCACATAAATGATAAAATGTCCTAGGTAAAACCTGGATAAGAGTTGTGAGTAGGCATTTCTCCAAAGAAATTATAAGACAGGTTAGCTATCACATGAAAAGTGCTTAGCATCATAAGGAAAATTCAAATTAAAACAGAAAAGATAAACAGATACCAGCTCTTCTCCTCCAGACACCCTCAAACCCTACCCTGCTCCCCAGAGCTACAGCCAAAAAGACTGATAATACAAGTTGTTGGCAAAGATAACGGAGAGTATGGGAATCTCAAATATGATGCAACTAATGTGGAAAACAGTATGACAATTTAGGTGAACAAGTTTTCTGTGTGACTCCAAAATGCTACTAGTTTCTAACCCAAAGATTTACTTATGAGTGTTTGGGGGAGCATAAGTAATAACAGCCCCAAATTATAAGCAATCCAAATGACTATCACCTAATTAATGAATGGATACACCAAAGGAATACTCTTGATTAATACAATAGTCTGATCCTTTCTGAAAGAGTGATGAGCCTCAAAAGCATGCTAAGTGAAGGAACTGAAACACGAAGACCCTATTGCTGTGAGTCCATTTAAGTCTCCACAGTGACAGACGCATAGCTCGGGCTGCTTCGGGCTGCAGGTGAGCACCCAGACCCATGCAAACAGGCGCAGCGACCTGGATTGTAGTGCTAGCTGCGCAACACTAGAATTTATTTTTAAAATCATTGAATTGTAAAATTGATGTATTTTATGGTATGGAAAATATAAATAAAGCTATTAAAACTTTAAAAATCAAATATTTGTTATCTGTTACTTTATGAAATCCAAAATTGGGACTTACAGCCGAGGCCTGTGAGGATTTAAAGAAGGACCTCAAATGTGGGATCCAAAATGAAGTCTCCCCGTTCTCACTGAAACCTCATCTTGTGAATCACCATGCCAACGCATCTGCTTCCTTTGTCTCATTCTCTTTAGCTTTCGTCTCATTCTAGCCTCAATTTCTGCTCTTCTGGCTGTCCGTCCAAGTAGCCCGTGTATCCAACTATATTCCAGTTTAACCCTGGTAATGTAAGCAGCTAACGGTTTTGTTTCCTCCATTTTAACAAGACATCTTTACATTTGTGGTGGACTATCTGTTTTTGTTTTGTTTTCCTTGTGATTTGTATTTTGTGGGAGGGGGCACAAAAACATGTTCTTTCTCTTGTAGGCCTTATTAATTTATGTCTCATACCGACTCCAGTTTGTCAAGAGTTTATTTTGTTTCTGAACTAGTGTTTGACATTTTTTTCCTTTCATAGAGGGTAAATCCGTTTTCTGAACACTATGCTATTCTGACATAATCATATTTGAAACATGGTTAAGATAAGCATTCATGAATAAAGGATCTGCTCCCTGCCCAGGTGTTCGAGTCAACGCTGACCGAGCCTGCTCCAGAGTAGGAACTGCGCCCTCAGGGTTCCAAGGCTGTAGGGCTTTACGGGAACATAAGACCTCCTCCTCCTCCCACAGAAAATAACCTCCTAACATGTACTGATTCGTCCTATTGGTGCTCTCATGATCAATTTCCATTTTAATCAAATACTTAACCCTTTTAGATCAATCAGTTGCCTGTTCCAGTACTGCATTTATCATAGGTAATGTAATGTATATATTATGCATTTATCATACATAACACTATATAATATTTATAACATATATAGCATGTAATATATAACATCTATAGATAATATCTATAACATATCTATAACACAGATAATATGCATTTATCATAGATAGTAGCACTGTAATGTGTGTTAATATCTGGTATTGTAGTTACAGCTTTCTTCTTTTGAAAATTTGCAAGCTCTTTGTTTACCTTTCTTCCTATTAGAGCTTAGTGCAGGTATTTGCTATGTAATTCTGAATATATTTACATCAGAGTGGGTGCCTATTCCAGGAAGAAGTGGAGAAATAATCGTTACATTTTATAAAAGAAAAAGCATAGAGAATAAAACAAAGTAGGAGTGATATACAAATCAATGCATTTAGGATGTCATATCTGAGGGTTACAAAGAATTCAGCTTTGTATCTGATCCTAAAAGAAGAGTAGAAACAAATTCCTAACAAAAGCACATCGGATTCATCTACCTCAAATCAAACCTGGTTTTCTAAAGCAGAATTCCAGTTCATTGGTTTAAATGAGAAATAGGTCTGCCAGAGGCAGAACTCGTATATGAGTCTAACCTATACTTCCTCTGCACATGTGGTAGGTGGAAATCTAAGAACACTAACACCCGCTTCACCCGGGGAAAACCGACTAGACTATAACTAGTGCTGGCTTGACCACCTGAAATGTATGGACTGTGTAGAGTTATGCACCTACCTACACCTGGAGACACTGGATGAAAAAGGTTGCATTGAGTCTCTCGACAATTCCAAAATCAACATCTGCTCAGTGGGTCCAGTGGTCTCTTGGTGAACATCTACTGTTTACTTATTTGGATGTATGTTTGTGGATGTTTCCTCTTATCAACCATGTTTCAAAGAACCTACTTAAATTTTAACCCTCCATAACTTTAGAATAAAAACCCTTTCTCCTTTCTCCTTACTTGGATCTTATTTCTAGCTGAGAATAAGTAGACAGTATCTAACTCTCAGCTACTGCCTGGCCAGTTTACCCTCAGACACTAAGGCATTATTGAGTAAAATCTCTCAACATTTGTTAGTTTCTGAGTAGAAATATAATCTCCTTTTTCCATATTTCCCTTCAGCGCTAACAATCTGGAAGCTATACTTAATATCCACTCTGACCACCTATTTAGAGACTTGTAAGAGACCACAATGCATTTGTTTGAAAGAGTAAATCTCCAACAAAATATACATATCCTAGTCTCAGGAACTTGTGAAAATGTTACCTTCCATAGGAAAAGGGCCTTTGAAATGATGCTTCATAACCTTGAAATGGGAGCGAGCTCCTGGGTTATCCAGATGGATACAATTCAATCACACAGATCCTTAAAAACAGAGTGTCTTGGACAGTTGTAATCAGAAAAATAAATATAAAGGCCAAAGAGACGCTGTGCTGCTGGCTTTGGGGATGGAGGAAGAGGACCAGGACCCAAAGGTGGAAAAGGGAAGGCAGTTGACTCTCCCCCCTCTCTTCAGTACAGAATACAGCCTGCTGACACCTTGACTTCCCCCAGTGAGACCTGTATTGGACTCTACTCCCCAGAAGTATAAAGTTATACATTTTGTTTTTTAGCCTTCACGTGGGAATTTGTTAAGGGAAAGATAGATGAAAAGATTGATGTTTTCACTAGAGCTAGACTCATGTCTTTGAATTAAATGAATAAAGTACATATTAAAAACAAATTTATGAGGAACTTTTAAGCATAGTGAAAAAGTTCATGAAATATCAGGGTCATTGTACAAAGAAACTCAAGGTTAAAGTTAGTTAGGTAATATAAAGCCCAAATCATTCAGTGTATTTTAAAAGCCATCACAATTTTCCATGAGTCCAAGATACATGAATTTCCAACAAAGATCCAAGTTTTATTTTCTTGGGAGTTTTTACAGATAATTCCTTTTTTTCAAAATAATTTCCACTGCCAGTTACATAATTTCTGTGGGTAAGCATGTTGTTTACAAAGCTTCTCCAGTCTGAGGAAGTGTTAGTTAGATCAGCCAGTGACAAGCTGACAATATCTCCCTTAATTTCGTGAGCAAGAAAAGTAGATTCTGCTGTTTAAACACGAGGAGAGGCCCTGCCGTGGCATGGTGTCTAAAACGCCTGGCTGCTCCCCACCAGCCGCCCAGCAGAAGAAAGATGGTGGCAATCTGTTTTTGTAAACATATCCCACCCTGGGGACCTCAGGGAGCCAGTTCTAGTCTGTTTGTCAGGTGGCCAAGTCAGAACTGACCTGAGCAGTGGGGTTGGTTTGGGTAGGTGCTTTTTTTGATTTGGGATCGACTCGGCAGTAAGAAAAATTTGGTTGGTGCTTCTATAAAGAGTTACAGTCGGGACCTTCCCGAGGGTTGCCATGAGTTGGTCTCAACTCCATCACGGGGGGTGGGTTTTAGTGTCACTTTAGGTACTATTTATGATAAAATCAAGAACCTCTACTCGGGAAAATAGGACAGTGCCCCCACTCACCTGCTCGAAGTGAAGAGCAACTAGTGACCACACGAGGGTAAGTCAAGGACTCAGCTACTAAGCAGATTCCCGGACTTGAGTGCACAGGTGCGCCTGCTGCACTACATCTCGGCGAGCAGGGACACGTTCTCTCCGGAACAGGCTTGTCTTAGTTTTGTTTTGGTGACTTAAAAAAATTCACTTTTGAAGGCATCTCCAGACTCAGTGAAATTCGACGTAGCGAGGTTAGCCCGGAAGCCTCTGGAGACTCTTAAAATTATTATTATTCAAAAAGGTAATGTTGATAGATTTTCTCAAAGGACTCGGGGAGTTCTGATGAAGGGCTTCTTATTAGAGGCATTTATATGAAGTTTTAAAAAAAACTGAAGATTGCATCAGAAGAGTTAGTCAAGTTGAGCTGAGGAGTTATAAACTGTATCACAGCAATGCACTTACTTATCTTTGAGAATATTGTTAAGGAACAGAACCTCACCTGTTCTACAGCCCTGATCTTGGCCCTTTGAGCATCTTTAAAACTCAACATGTCCAAAGAGCACAGCGTGATTCCCTGGAGGATGCTAAACCACGCTGCTTTGCGGTGTGGTGTGAATTGCACAGCACAGACTTTTTCAGGGAAGGGACAGAAGGAGGCAAACACTTCCTTCAGCCATGTCGACCTGGCTGGAGGATATGGTAAACAACAACAGTTTCACATTTTGAAATTTTGTTTCATAAAGGTTCTATGGAGTTGTTGTTGCTGTCAGAGCCACCACAACAGAATGAAAAATGGCCCTGTCCTGAGTCCTCCTCACTATTTCCCTGTGCTTGAGCTCATTGTTGCAGCCGCTGCTTCGATCCACCTCCTGGAGGGTCTTCCTCCCTCTCAGGAGCCCCCACTTTCCACGCATGAGGTCCTTCCCCAGCGATGTTAAATTACCCTCCTAATTTGATTTGCGCAATCACTTTCCAGGAAAGTTACCATTTGAAAATTAACTTTATTTCAGAAGAAAATTAAATGTCTTGATGCCAAGTGGATATCAATCAATTAAATCAGTGATACAGAAACACTTATTTTACAGATACAGATACAAATTTTTTAATTTAGCTTTTTAATTCTTACATCAGTGAGGACAATATTCTGCTGTTTATTGGCACAAACCAGCCCTTCCCCGGGTATACAAGGGGATACATATGTCCATAACCACGTTAGCTACAGCGAGCCGGCTTTACCAGATAGCATAGCAAAGTAGGATTAACTACAGATATACTTTATTAAGAACAAGCTTTCAAATAACATGAAGTCAATGAACATTTGACTGTACAATTTATTCCATCAAAATATAAATGGAGGGCAGCTTATATGTGTGAATTACACTAAATGAATCGAAACACTTCCAAGTGCTTAAGAATGTGTGAGCACTCGCACAAGTGATTCTCTAAGGGGGTGTACCGAAAACTTCCCAAAATACCCCAGATATTTGGTCTTAGGTAAGAGATAATCTTTAAGGCAATCTTCCAAGTAAATGCAAACTTTTCTGAAGTGGCCTTCTCAGTAAAAATTATTGTTGTGCATTCTCAGTACTCTTGGGTACATTTAGTAACACATTGTTACACTAATTGTCACTTCTAATTTTTGTTTGTTAATTCAGCAATTATAAAAGTGGGATGATTTTTGCTCTGTAGACATAAAGCAGGCACTTTCTGTTGACTTATCTGTATGTACTAAATATTTCCTTCTAATAATTTTTACCTTTAGCTAGAATGGTATTCCTAATATTGTTTACATTCTAAACATTGCCTTCCCATGTGGAGAAGAAATAATTTGCCTATAATTTATCTAATTTAAATCTCAGTTCAGAATTTCTTTTAATAGGTCTACAGAAGCATTAAAAATAAATAGTTCTACTCTTTGAACATCTTTCAATATGATGGAGCTTTTTGTAGTATGCCTTTTTCCCAAAGGGTTTTTCAGAGCACAAGAACTAAACTGACTAGTGGAGAAGTGGACACAGCCATTGTTGGAGCCCCTTTTAATGACCAGCTAATTTCATTTAGTCTCTTTCTTAGCCTTACAGTTGGCAGAGACCACCAGATAATTATCTGGGCTCATGTCCTTAAGGGTTGGAGATTTGCTTTGGATGGGGGACGTTTTGCCATCCACACGGGAGATCTGCAGCATCCGGCAGGGGTCATGTTTCAACAGATACCCTGCAAATGTTTCCCATCCTCCTCCAACACGGACCATAACATGTTTGTTGTGCAGCATCTAAAATGGAAAAAGAAGAGAGGTGTTAAAACCTGGACCTTCTTACAACATCTTAAATCAACTTCCAATTCTAATAGAATGAGTCGTTTTTGTCTTGTTTTTCACGCCCCTTCTTTTTCTTCTTGGTGCTCAGTGTCTGAGCTGGCAAAAAGTTCATAAAAGAAACCTTGTTTTTCCTACGTAAGTGGATCACAGGGACACATTCTCTGGATCCCGCTTGTCTCTGTTATGGGGACCAAGGTCTGCAGATCAGCCCTGGTGCGCTGTGTGGAGGCTGCTCTGTAAGAGCAGGCGCTCCATCCCAGGCCTCCCAGGGCTCTCACTGCCTCCCACCAGCACTCCCTTCCACTGCATTATATGCTTGTGAACTGGAATTTATACAATGGTGGTAGTGTCTACTATTGTACAATGCTAATAATCACACAGTCCATGTAAGTTTAAATTGAAAATGCAGTCAGAAAAACGGAAGGAAGTCTTCCCCAATCATCATCTGAGCCTTCCAGGCAAGATGTTTTTGAACAGCCAAATAGTGATGCTTTCCATTACTCTTGTTCTTCCTAAATAATTACTCTACAACACATATTTCCAAAACTTACCTCCAGGCGCAGGAGCCATCTAGAAATCTAAGTTAACAAAGCTATCTACTGAAAAACCGGAGAATATATTGTTCTTTCTATCTAGTAAAAATGTCAGAGTTGCAGAGTTTGGCTTCTTCCAAATACCAGAAAATGTAGGATGTAGGGGAAATGTTTCTCCCTCATCAAAGGGCCGCCTCTCCCAAGATTACAGCTCCACAAGGACAGTGAAATGTCGGGATGCAGGAGCAGTGTGAGAGGGAATATGGGAAACTACTCTCATTGTAGAGCCCATATTTGAATTCGTCTCCTGTGTCAACTTGAGTGAGCCTTTTTAAAAAAAAAAATCTTTCTTTGGTACATTTTATTGTGAGTTGGATGAAGGGTCACAGGGCAAATGAGTTCTCCATTCAATAACCCATCTCTGTTTTGTTTTATGCCATTCATTGCAATTATCACAATGTACCATTATGAATCCCACTTCTCCCCAATTTCCCATTTCCATTCTGCCTTTGCTACTAACTTCCTGCCATCTGAACTTTGGGCTTGGACAGATGTACCCTCTGATCTCATATAGTTGGCTGTTCTAACAATGACATACCTCCCAGTGTTACTTTCATTTTACAGGCCTGTCTGTTCTTTGGCTGAAAATTGAGCCAGGGAGGAGAGACTTCGAGTCCAGCTCTGAGGGTGACTTAGGCTCCTAGTCTCAGTTCTAATGTCCAGGATGAGGTTGGTCTTTTTTTAATTTTTATCTTGAGTTTTGCTTCACATCTTTCTTCCAGTCTACCCAAGACCTTCTAATGTGATTCCTTTCAGAGTAGTTGGTAGTAGTAGCGGGCACCATCTAGCATCACTGGTTTCATGAAGGCTGAGGTTGGCATAATCCAATGGTTAGTGGGCTCATTAGGACCTGTGTTTTCAGTGTTCTTCATTCTTCTTTGATCCAGATAGTGAGAAGCCAATAATTGCACTTAGGGGGCTACTCACACATTGGAAGAGACCAGTCACTATTGAGTTAGCTTCTCGGATGCCCATGATGCAGGGGGCCAATTGCCCTCTAATTGTTTTCATTCAACTTTTGAGACTCTGATGAGAGACTCTGACCATCTTTTTATATGACCAGCCTGCAAAGTTTCACATGAGTCAAGTTTAGGTATTTCATAGACTCGCAGAAGTTCATTCACGGACTCACGCTAAGAAATGTTGATTTATGGTGATGGCATGAAATAGTCTTCAAAGTAAAATGTGCAAAGTAATAAAAATTATGCTGCATAACAATAATTAAGACTAGCTACTCCTCTTAAAACCCTAATAGGCGTACTCAGTCTTTGACATGCACAGAGTGCCGCATGTGGGAATAGGGGTTTAGACTTACAAGAATTCAATTGGCTATAACTCTGCTACTTGTTACATTCTCTGATAACACTAGACTTTTAAAAGGAAGAGATCTTGGGAAACAGCACCCAGGTGGAAGCCTTCACATTTATTTCAGCATCAGATTGCACTCAACAAATGAAACCTTAAGGGGAGGCCCTGACATATCAGACAGGTAAGAGCAGTCAGGACCTAATGTGTAACTGCGTTGCTTCCCCCAGCTCTTATCAATGGCATCCTGTATTCATTTTACAGATGAGAACAATGCAGCCCAGATATTTCATGTGACATGCTTAGAGTAGGATCAAATATTCTGACTCCGACTATAGTGTTGTCGGCTTTGTTTGTTTGATTTTATTTTTTCCCTGCCATAAGATTGTGTCTCCCTTTAAACTCATCAGTGTTTAGAGAAATTTCTTCTGAGTCCTCATTCCCACATGCTCCTGTGAATGCTCCAGGTGTGTGCTTCTAAAACTAAGGCTGCTCAGACGAGAAAACACACAGGTGAGTGTCACAGCAGCACTCTGACCCTCTTCCCGTTGTTCGGGAGACTGGCTTTTCCTGCTGTTGAAATGTCGACACTTCCGAGCCTTACGAAGTCATATTTCAGAATTGCCTCCAAATACATGAGCAGGCATGCGGCCGCCGGTGGAACGCATGAACTACGTCTGCTCAACACTGTCGGTACACAGGCTATTTTAACCAGAAAGAATTCCCCAGTCAACACAGTTTTTAATACCAAGTGAACTCTTGGGGGAGAGTCGGGGAGTGGGCGGTGGGGTGAAAAGCACCTTTCAGCCTGGAGCACATGGCTCCTGGAGACATATTCTGCTGGTAGAGGCCATGTGAAGTGACTCCACAGGAAACAAGAGCCAAACAGAAGGACAATAAGACAGGCAGGTTAAATCTCCGCCCACCTTTTCTTTGACACCAGCCCTACCACAAAGAGGGATGTAAACCTGAGTCTCTTACCAGAGTCAGCAGGGAAGGTTAAGCAGAAAATAATTTTGCAAAATACTTAGGTTTACTTTCACCAACACCATGGAGTCTCATTCTCTGAATAACAGAATTCCCCTGGAAGTCTGCTCCGTCTGTGACTCTAATCTTCAAGAGGCATAGACATGTTTGCTGAACTCTGACAGGTTTGTTGCTTGGGTCTGAGCCTGCACATGGATGTGCGTTTTAGGGTGGGTGTGGGTGGACAGAAGCTGTGGAGGAGACTCACCCCTGGGGACTCCCTGTGTCTAAGAGTGAAATTGAGCTCCCTAAGATGGACAATGGCCCATTTCGGGAGGTCATGGCCAGGCTTTCTGCTCAAAGGGCCTCTTGATGGACTCAAACCTCCAACCTTTGGGTTAGCAGGGGATTCCTTCCACTGCTTTTACCTGTTCCCCTAAGGATCTGGAAATTTTCTCATCTGGAAATCTGAATCTAGATTTCTCATGAAATCATCTAGATTTTTCCCTTTGACTATTTTCTTGGGAAATCACTGAAAAGGTGTCATTCTCCAGAAGTCTATGATAAGCATCTCTTATCAAAATTATTTCCATTTTAATAAACATAAAGTCAATTATCTAAAGATAAGCAGTTTGCCTAAAAAAAGCATGGCAAATCAGTGGCCTACTGAGTAAAGGATCCTTCTCCCTCTCCCCCTACTTATGATACCACACCCATTTGTTCTATAACATGGAGTTTTCATATTAGGTCACTGGTTCTCAACCTGTGGGTTGTGACCCCTTTGGGGGTCAAATGACCCTTTTACACGGGTCGCCCAATTCATAACAGTGGCAAAATGACAGTGATGGAGTAGCAACAAAAATAATGTTATGGTTCGGGGGGTCACCACAACATGAGGAGCTGTATGAAGGAGTTAGGGAATTAGGAAGGTTGAGAGCCACTGCCTTAGATAACTACTAGTGATAAATTTGTACAGGCAAGAATTATATCCAAACTAGTACTGAGTAACTTGAAGCAGATAAACTGTCTGCACTGAAGGGAGGATGGTGGGATGGGTTGGGGGGGTGGGGGGTGGAGGGCGGTCAACAATAACATATAAAAGAAGGTAGAAAAAGTCTCAAAGCCCTTCCTGATGTGATTGAACTACTGACCTGTAGGATGTGTTACATGCAGCTCAATAAAAGATAGTGGTTTATAGTCTGGTGTCCTCCATCACCGCTAAATAAATATGCATCTTCATATCAGAAGCTTAGCCTCTAGTGGTCCAAGTTATTTCAGAAATTAACATGAGGCAAACGCAGGTAATAAGACAGAATACACTCTAAGCCCGATATCTCTTGCTGTATGAAGGACGGGGAGGGGGCTTTGATGGTGTGTTCCATGCATATCTTCCTGCTCTTTGATTTCAAGGTTGAACAATGTGGGGTCCTTCACAGGATAAGTAAGTGTGGTATCATGAGGCCGCAAAAGGCAGCCCCACTTATCTGGTGGCACTAATATATCGCCTATAGCAATTCAGTATTTCATGTTGTTTTCCTTGTCGTTGTTCTATGTATTCGTAAGTAAAGAAAGACTATTTAGAAGTGTGACAAATGTCCCCCAAACCGGGTGTCACCCCAGAGAAGTTGTTGCGTAGTAGGTCCGATTCTGGCTATGGCCATTTTTTGACAATTAGGCTCATCCCTCTACAAAATCTCATCAGAACAGTGGGGACACTACTGATCTAGGCGACATTACTCAGTGCTAAAAGAAAACAAAATAAAAACTGCAATCTTGTCTCAATATTTCTCTCAATGATCTTAATGAAATTCTAGAAGCAGCTTCAGGCCGCGGCATGTATTGCCAATGCCTGTCTGAGGTCTATGAACAGCATGTTCCTTGTCCACAGAAAAGACTCAGCATGTCGCAAAATTTTGTTGATGGCTTTGTTCTAGAAAGATGCGCAATCATATTTAGTTTCCTTAGGAAAGTTCTCCATATATGCCAGCAAAAAAGAATATCAGCATTAGGTAACAGAGAGCCCAATGTATTACAGGCCCTACTCTGGGTCAAGTAATCTACAAAAGCATTACATTGCAACTAAGAGAATTA